TCATTTCACTGCTTTGCTGATGATGTTCAAATCTATTTGCCTTTGAATGTGAATTCCGATTCCGTCCAAGCACTGCAGAAATGTCTTGACGATGTAAAAGACTGGATGTCAATCAATTTTTTAAAACCTGAATCACACAAAAACAGAAATTGTACTGTTTGGTGAACCTGATCCGTCTGTTTTCAACGGTGTGTCTAGCCTGTCTTCCTACTGCCGCCCACTTGCAAAAAACCTTGGTGTGTATTTTGATGGTGCTTTTAAAATGGACAAACAAATAAGTTCAGTTGTCAAAGCCAGCTTCTTCCAGCTGAGACTGTTGACCAAAGTTAAAGGCTGTCTTCCACCAAATGACCTTGAGAAGGTTGTCCACGCCCTCATATCCACACGGCTGGACTATTGTAACTCTTTATACTATGGCCTTGACCAGTCCTCAGTCCACAGACTGCAGCTGGTACAGAATGCAGCAGCTCGGATGCTGACTGGCACCAGACAACACGAGCACATCACTCCTGTGCTGTTGTCTCTACATTGGCTTCCTGTCGCTTTTAGAATTAAGTTTAAAATGTTATTGTTAGTATTTAAATCTCTGCATGACCTGGCTCCGTCATATCTGACTGACTTGCTTACTTTGCACACCCCGGGAAGAGCACTGAGGTCCTCTGACCAGCTTCTTCTGCACTGTCCCAGGTCTAGATTAAAAACCAGAGGAGACCGAGCCTTTGCTGTGGCAGGGCCTAAACTCTGGAACGCTCTCCCTTATTCCATCAGAGCTGCCCCCTCTGTAGAGAGTTTTAAATCGCAGCTAAAGACACATTTCTTTGCTTTGGCTTTTTAACACAAGCAATGTTGAAACATTTATGATAGTGTCCTGCATTTTATTTTATGCTGAATGTTATCTGTGTGTTGTATTTTTACAATGTCTGGTAAGCACTTTGTGACAGTCCTGTCTGTTTTTAAAATGTGCTATATAAATAAACTTGACCCTTGACCCTTGACTTAATCCGAATTCAGAAGGCGGTGTAAAAGTGCCCTCTCTGTGACCTGTCTGAATGACACGTGTTTATTTTGGAAAGCGGTATCAAATGCCAAAAGCATTGCAGATGCACTATTCTCAGCGGTGGAAATGGACGGATGAGCTATTGAGCAAAGTGTACAAATATGTTTGGGCCTGGAGGGGTGGGTACAGGTGGGACTGAGCAAGAAATTCATTGCTATTGTATATCTTGCTTGAATGGGTTATTAGGGCGTGGTTTTCCCATACATCAATCATGTTATATGATATAATAATACTGGATCTCAATCAACTTGAGCTCCATTGGCTAAGTCAGGCTCTCCAAAAAATCTATTTTCAGCCCATAATTGCAAAAAAAGTATATTATGATAAACTTAATGGTAGCCCTGGAGGAGTTGCCTGCCAGGCGGACTCCTTCTCCACTGGGCGACTTCACAAGGACAAATTGGCTTTTAGGATGTGTTGCCCAAGCAGCGTCAACAAAGGCAGTGAGGAGAGGCTCACAGGGGGGGCCTAACCCACAAATGCATGGGGGGTTAGGGGCCTGGTTAAACCCAAACCCCCTGCCTCATGAATGCTTGTCCCGGGTCAGAGGACAGAGACAAGTGGAGCTGGGCAGGTTTAGGGGGAGAGCGGTGTTTTCCTGGTATGGGAAGTCACCACAGAGCTCCAATGCGTGGGTGGGTCTGTGTGTGTGTGTGTACGTGTGTGTACGTGTGTGTGTGTGTTTGTCTTGATTCTTTGTTTTACATTCACAGTGTTCAAGGCGAAACTCCAGTGACTAATACTAATTTATTTATTTTATTTTTGTGACACAAAAGTAGAGACGTTTACACACACAAAATAACACATAATAAAGTATTAATTCATAATTCAAGTATATTTTGAAAAAATACAAACGTTTTCTTTTGAATAATAAGTGTACGCTCTAAAATAGTATGGTCCTTGTTGCATATGTAAATAATATTGTATTTGAGATGTAAATGATAGTATTGTTACACCTTTCCATTTTTATTTCTAATTTTAATTATTCAGTGTCCCACTGAGATTTGGCAGTTTTTTTTTCCAGTGTGGGAACAGAAAACCTACAAAAAGTTAATCCTGAAGCGCTGTAGACACAACCCTGATCAAAAGGCACCATGCTGACCACATATAATAATATCCGATACAAAATCAAAACGGAAAAACTCAAATAATCTTCCATGCCAATCGTGTTAAAAAAAAAATCATTGAGAATTGCTGTATATTATGTAACTATGAAAAATCTTGTGAAGTGCTTAGTGTTTCCTTGGTCTTGCTAATGAATGCAAAAACATCTAAATTTCAAGATTTAACTAAGTTGTATTGTACCATTGTACCCAATCTTTTTCCATAAATAATCCATGATGTTTGACCCAATAAAAAGAGTTTTGGAAAAGTAAAATGTTGTGAACAAATCAGACCACAGCATGCTGCCTTCATCTTAATAGAAAACATGTAAGAAAGAGCCACGTGAGTCACTGTTTGACACTTTGGGAAATGAGCTGATTGGCTGAGTGAGAGTTGTCCACTCTTTTTCAATTATCTGTTTTAAGAAGCTGATCAAAAGATAATTGATCAGCTTTATGATGACATAAATTATTATGTCATCATAATGATGACATAAATTATTATGTCATCATAATTTGAAAATCAAGTTTAAACATGTTAATTTGATGACATATATACTGTGCATATATACACGCACAGTATATATGCGACTGAAACCAAACTGTTCTAGAGCCAGGAACAAGAGAGATGGATTTGATTAAGTGTAATTGTAGTGGTTTGAAAGTAATGTACCACATTATGGAAAATGGCAGCTGCTCCCTGATTGGTTTATCTGCTTGAAAATGATGAAAAAAGTATAAATATTACAGATACCATGTCCATTGTGTTTTTGTTTAAGAATAACCCCCAACTAAACTGATGTTTAGAAAAGGTCAACTATGATTTTTAAATGTGACCTGTTATCTGGGATCACATAAAAGATGTAGATAATATAAAAAAAGAAAAAAGTATTGTATTTATAAAGCTGGCAGATTGGTTTGTTTAAATGTGTTACTTTTGTCTCTCTGGAGTCCTTTGGAAACTTGCTTTATAAAATGTGCTATATAGATAAAGTAGATAACTCTTCAGCTGTGAAATACATGTAGATGCAGGCGAAGATAAGATAAGATAGATAAACATGAGCAACAGGCCTGGACATTGGGGACATGTAGTTAAAGTGAAATACTGTATAGAGGTAGCATAGTCTGTGCAATCTCCCCTGGATTATTGCTGCTCTCCAGACGAATTTGAAGCTGGGAGCGTGGTCCCTCCACGCCCCTGGAGCTCACTGATAATACCCTGTGAGGAAAAGGATTCCTCCACTTTCTCTCTGAATGAAAAGGTCAACGCAGAGGCAAACACTATTACATAATTTAATTATCATCAGATTAGTTTGATGATATTAAGGCTCGGATTAGCACAGGCGCATTTATAATGAAGGAGGAGATTTGTGTTATTTTCCCAGTGGAATATTCATGAACATGTCATCTAGTTAATGATAGAACAATGTTGTAACGTGGTTTGTATAACTTAATCTCTGATAATATCATATGTTTGAGACACAGGCTTTGCGTTAAATGGTGTGTTTTGTGAAAGAAGGAGCTGTGGAGGTCTTACGTTATCTCCAATTTTCTCTCCCACTCTTAGACTGTATATTAGAAGTGGACTAAGTGCTGACGTTTATCGAATGTAAAAAAAGCCAACTTAATCACAAATTAGCTGGACGGCTAGTTCAATTATTAAGGTATTGTATTGGTGTGGATTTTCCAATTTTTTGTCTGCCCTAGACATTTCAATCTGGAGAGACTCAAGCAGCCTCCACACACCGCCTTTAAGGCCTAATAATAACTATTCTGCGGCCCTACTCTGTGATATGTACAGAACAAAGAAACACTACAAGAGCTTAACTGTAGTTTGCACATGCCCCATGGTGCATGAACAAAAACAGTATACCGAATCACTACGTCCTCACTGTTACAAATATATATATATTTTTTTAAAGACACTGAATACAACAAATTAGATGGAATTAGAATGGGAGACAGTAGCTCAGTAGAGCATTGGCCTTTGAGCCAGAGGGTCTTGGGTTCGAGCCCACCTCAAGGCTTTCACCATCAACTCCCACTGTCTGCTGTCGTTGTGCCCTTGGCAAGACACAACCTCTGGGAACACCAGCCACAGTGGGGCTGTAAACTGCCGTTGTGTCCTTAGGCAAGACATTTCACCCCCATTGCCAAGAATGAGTCTGATTTGTGTGAATGGTTGGTGGTGGCCGGAGGGGCTGATGGCACATACTGGTTTCCTCGCTTCTGTCAGTGTGCCCCAGGGCAGCTGTGGCTACAGTAGTAGTTTATCGCCACCGTGTTTGGAGTGAGTGAAAAATGACATGTAAAGCGTTTTTGAGTGTCCAAAAAAGCGCTATATAAAACCGATGCATTATTGTTTATTATTATTATAGAATTATGTATTGGTTTTCTTATTGTTGTGAATAAGCAACATAGAAAAGCCTGAACTATAAACCTTGTTTATAGTTGATGATTCTCAACAGTGGGTGTCCATGCTTCTCACTTTGATGGCTTTAATCAGAGCTTTAATCAGAACAAGTAAGGAATGCAGCTCATCTGGCCTCCCAGATGAGATGAGAATACATGCTATATTTGGGACATTAACAGACTGTAGCAATGGCTGAAAGACCTTTTTTTTATTAGTGAAAAGTAAAACAGATGTCAAATCACCCTTGGGATTAGGTGCAATGCAGAGTGATTAACAGTGAGTGCAATACACACAGGCGTGTGTATAAGCGCGGTTTGGCTAATCGGCTAACTAAGCGATTATCAAAACCGATTATTTTGTTCTAACACACTCCCCTCTTTTGCTGTTTGTGCAGAGCGCGTGGTGCGTCTGACACCGTGCTGGTGCTATGGCTCTGGTTCAGGCGTTCCCGGTGTCCGTCGCTGAGCTCTCTGCGGCAGCTCTCGAGGCACACCAGTCCCCCTCGGGGCCCTGCTCCACCACAGCTATGGGCTCGGTCAGTAGCCTGATCTCTGGCCGGACGTACCAGGAGAGACACTGCCGTGCGGCCAGTGACTTCTCTACCAAGCCGCGCCGCTCCACCCCGGCCACCAGCTGCTTCCGCCTCCCAGACAATGGCACCATGCGCAGTGGGAGCTCCTTGGAACAGCTGCTTGTCATCTCCAACCACAACCAGCCTCAGTCTCAGCCACCTCCCCTGCCCACCAAGAAGCACCCGCGCCCTGGTAACAGTAGCAGGGCACCCTCAGGAGCACCCCCGGGGGCTACACATGGGCTCTCCAATGGGAATTTTGCGTCCGGGGATGAGGTGCTGGCAGGAGACTGGAATGATAACGTGGTGTTAGCGGTCACCAGTCCCGGCTCGGACTCAGAGGAGCAACAGGACCAGAGGACCAACGGAAACATTGGAGGACCACCACCCAAACTCATCCCTGTGTCTGGACAACTGGAGAAGGTAATGAATGAACAAAACTTTCCATTAGACACAAAATGACTTTTATAAACACAAATATTCGTCTTTCTTAAAAGTTTATACACCTAGCCACAAATTTAAAGTTTTGCCCATAGGAGATTCTAAATAACAAAACACTATTTTTAATTAATAGTTAGTTGTTATGTGATTCAATATTGTCTAGTAAACAGGCTTTTTAGTTTCAACTTAACCATAATTGAGCCACCCAAGATCTCAAATGTGCAGCTCATGCAAGGCAGCCCAGGAATTTACAGGTACTGGAGGACAGCATTACCATCAGAGTGGATAAAGAACCTTATCCACATCTTTCACAAAAGACGCAAGGTCCGAAAAGGAGTTTCTGTTGTCATCATAATTTGAAGTTTAAACATGTTAATTTAATGATAAATGGCTTCACACAAACCACTAGCAATGAGTGCACAATAGATCAACATTACTGTTTCTAACACAACTGTAGTACTATTATTCTGTCTGTCTAAACTCGACCTGTATTACAAAGCCGGATGATTTCAGATTATTATGAGGGACAGCCCAACTTTTCCAGAGACGAATGAGCTCTGTGTGTACACGAGGCCAGATCACAACTCACTCTGTAATTCCTGGATCACTTCAAGCAAAAACAAGCTGAGAGTATGTCACATGTAATTAATCAAAAATAAAAAAGAGTAAGTGAAAGGACACACAATGAGTCCACACTTAATGTCCAACCTCAACAAGTCCCCATATGGACAGGTACAGTATGGCACAAATGTGTTAAAGATGTGAATATCTTCTTATAGCAGTTTCCTGAGCAGGATAAAAAGACTAAAGACTGAGAAGGCTGAGAGCCCCAGTGATGAATGTGTGTGGATGGTCATGTAAAATGCTTTGAGTTCCCATTCGAGCTGGAAACATTTACTGTTGATTGATTGACTGAACCATATATTTTATATGTAACCTCAACCTATGAATGTGTTGTATATTCTAGTTACGATAGCTCTCTTCCTTTTAGCTACAGCTTTGGCACGCATCACTTAGTTGAATAATCGATTGAGATAAAAATTAAGTTCATTAATAAGTTATCCCTGACCCAGTTCTAATTGTAATAATGCAACAGAAAACATGTGGATTTTGCTTGAAAAACAGATCCAACATTATGATACGTACAGTAGCATAGGCCTACTATTAAATTGTGTGACTGGTGTTTTGTATTTTGTTACTATTCTTATCCTGATGTGTCATTTCAGAATATGGAGAAAGTGCTTATTCGACCGACAGCGTTTAAACCTGTGGTCCCCAAGAACCGGCACTCAGTACAGTACCTGGCTCCTAGGCAAGGGGGCTCTAACTTGTCTGAGAGCCAGGCCAGTCTGAACTCTCTGATGCCGTTGGGAGGCTCGTCCAACATCAGCACCAATGCTAACATGCTGACCCCAGCTAACGTCGCTAACCCCACATGCACGGCTGAAGACAAGTGCACCAGCACCCGCAACACCCGCAACAGTCAGTCCTGCTCCATGTCAGACTCCGGCAGGAACTCTCTGTCCTCTCTGCCCACACACAGCAGCACAGGCTACAGCCTGGCCCCCAGTGAGGGCTCCGGCTCAGGCTCTGGGGGGCCCACGGAACAGGTGGGACTGACCAGGAACACTTCTGAAGGTGTAAACCATGGACACTCAAACTCGGACAGCGGGCGCTCCTCCTCTAGTAAGAGCTCAGGCTCTGGGTCTGTGAGTGGGCGCGGGCAACCCCTCTCGGATAGCGGCTCCTGTGGACACTCTCCTCCCCCAGTGGAGGGCTACGAGGCTGTGGTCAGAGAGCTGGAGGACAAACTGAGGGAGAGAGACTTGGAGTTACAGCAGCTTCGAGAAAACCTGGATGAGAACGAAGCTGCCATATGCCAGGTGAGACCTCGGACAAATATATGTTGTACTATATAGTAGCTCAAGTCACTGTGCTGTATGCAGCAAAAGAGCAATGCATATACTACACACACAATTGCGTGTGCGGTTGTGGTTCAGTCCTGCCTTAAGACATTATGTCCTTCATGAGTGGTGTGGTGGAACCAAGAATGATGTTTTTCGTTTCTTTTCAAAGGTGTATGAAGAGAAGCAACGTCGCTGTGAGAGGGAGATGGAAGAGCTGAGGCAGGGCTGTGCGTCCAAGATGAAGCAGACTTCTCAGAAGGCTCAGAGGGCTCAGCAGGTCCTGCAGCTGCAGGTATTGCTCATTATAGTGATGCTTGTTCATGTGCGTGGATGGGCCGGATACATGACAGCGTGTGTGTGGCAGGTATTCCAGCTGCAGCAGGAAAAGAAGAAGCTGCAGGAGGACTTCTCGGCTCTGCTCCAGGACAGAGAGACTCTGGAGAGACGCTGTGCCACCATCCAGAGAGAGCAGACACAGCTGGGCCCGCGCCTCGAGGAGACCAAGTGGGAGGTGGCTTCAACACACAACCAACCTTGACTACGGTCACCTTCAAAATGTTTATCTGTATTTTGTATTTAATTCATTCAATCAAAGAGATCACTTGTCTGACAGTAAGACAGCAATTGATATTTGTGGAAAGAGCCTGTTGTTGTTAATACAGCACAAGAAAACAAATCCAATCCCTTGTCTATGGTTTGTAGCTTCTCTTCCAGAATGTCTAAATCCTATGCTCTCTCTTAGGTGTGTCAGAAGTCTGGTGAGATCTCCCTCCTGAAGCAGCAGCTGAAGGAGATCCAGTCCGAGCTGAGCCAGAAAGCCGGGGACATTGTGGTGCTGAAGGCCCAGCTGAGAGAAGCTCGCTCGGAGCTGCAGTCCAGCCAAGTCCGCACCCAGGAGACACAAACAGCCCTCCGCACGCGTGCCTTGGAGCTGGAAGTGTGCGAGAACGAGCTTCAGCGGCGTAAAAGCGAGGCCGAGCTGCTCCGTGAGAAGATGGGCCGGCTGGAGGAGGAGTGCAAGCGCAAACGGGACGTCCTGAGTAGCCACAAGAGGGGCAGAGGTGGGCCCAGTCCCTCTGGGCCATACCGCGATGAGGAGGTTCCCCTTTTGTGGGGAGGGGAGAGTGACGAAGCCAAGGCGCAGAGGCAGAACGTGGAGGCTGTGCTGGGGCTTAGACAACAGGTACACGTACTAATCAAAATTACAGTGCCTTGCGAAAGTAACCTTTCAACATTTCGCCACATTTCAGGCTTCAAACATAAAGATATAAAATTTTAATTTTTTGTCATGAATCAACAACAAGTGGGACACAATCGTGAAGTGGAACAAACATTTTTAACAAATAAAAAACTGAAAAGTGGGGCGTGCAATATTATTCGGCCCCTTTACTTTCAGTGCAGCAAACTTACTCCAGAAGTTCAGTGAGGATCTTTGAATGATCCAATGATGTCCTAAATGACTGATGATGATAAATAGAATGCACCTGTGTGTAATCAAGTCTCCGTATAAATGCACCTGCTCTTTGATAGTCTCAGGGTTCTGTTTAAAGCACAGAGAGAACCATGAAGACAAAGGAACACACCAGGCAGGTCCGAGATACTGTTGTGGAGAAGTTTAAAGCCGGATTTGGATACAAAAAGATTTCCCAAGCTTTAAACATCTCAAGGAGCACTGTGCAAGCAATTATATTGAAATGGAAGGAGTATCAGACCAGTGCAAATCTACCAAGACCCGGCCGTCCCTCCAAACTTTCATCTCAAACAAGGAGAAGACTGATCAGAGATGTAGCCAAGAGGCCCATGATCACTCTGGATGAACTACAGATAACTACAGCTGAGGTGGGAGAGTCTGTCCATAGGACAACAATCAGTCGTGCACTGCACAAATCTGGCGGTAAGAAGAAAGCCATTTCTCAAAGATATCCATAAAAAGTCTCAGTTAAAAAGTGCGACACAAGCCACCTGGGAGACACACCAAACATGTGGAAGAAGGTGCTCTGGTCAGATGAAACCAAAATCGAACTTTTTGGCCACAATGCAAAACGATACGTTTGACGTAAAAGCAACACAGCTCATCACCCTGAACACACCATCCCCACTGTCAAACATGGTGGTGGCAGCATCATGGTTTGGGGCCTGCTTTTCTTCAGCAGGGACAGGGAAGATGGCTAAAGTTGATGGGAAGATGAATGGAGCCAAATACAGGACCATTCTGGAAGAAAACCTGTTGGAGTCTGCAAAAGACCTGAGACTGGGACGGAGATTTATCTTCCAACAGGACATTGATCCAAAACAAAGCCAAATCTACAATGGAATGGTTCACAAATAGACGTATCCAGGTGTTAGAATGGCCAAGTCAAAGTCCAGACCTAAATCCAATCGAGAATCTGTGGAAAGAGCTGAAGACTGCTGTTCACAAACGCTCTCCATCCAACCTCACTGAGCTCGAGCTGTTTTGCAAGGAAGAATGGGCAAGAATTCCAGTCTCTCGATGTGCAAAACTGATAGAGACATATCCCACTCGACTTCGACCAGTCTCTCGATCTGCAAAACTGATAGAGACATACCCCACTCGACTTCGACTTGCAGCTGTAATTGCAGCAAAAGGTGGCGCTACAAAGTATTAGCGCAAGGGGGCCGAATAATATTGCACGCCCCACTTTTCAGTTTTTTATTTGTTAAAAAAGTTTAAATTATCCAATAAATTTCGTACCACTTCATGATTGTGTCCCACTTGTTGTTGATTCTGACTTTTATGTTTGAAGCCTGAAATGTGGCGAAATGTTGAAAGGTTCAAGGGGGCCGAATACTTTCGCAAGGCACTGTAGTAGTTGAGTATGAATACAAAGTACTAGTCAGAACCAGATTGCTCACCTTCTCAAGTTTAGTTCGATTGGACACATGTAAAACCTTGTGCGTAAATTATGCCAGTCTGTTTGGAATAACTGGATAGAATCCTTGTTACTGCTTTGCATGCAGCACGTAAACCGCATCCTTTTGAGATGTGGCCGCAAGATGCATTTGAGAGCATCTGATTTGAGAGTGTGAAAATCAAATGCTAAAACATTTGCTTATAGAGTATGTATGACTTTTGAGTTTTTTTCTTTTTCCTTTGTGGGGCTGATGAGAGTGCTGGAATAAACCTCTGAACATCCTCAATTGTGATCTGGGGAGGTCCTGAAGACAGTGTGTAAAAAGCACTCCTTCACACTCGATAATGTTAGCGTAGCACTTATCAACACTTTGAGGAATCTTGGGGTGGTAGTTGACCAAGAGCTCTCCTTCAAGGCACATATAAACCGAGCAACTAAAACAAAAAAACTGTACTTGCACATATCAGGAATATCCTTCTAATCCAAACTAAAAATGAATTCACGCATTTGTCACCTCAAGGCTTGACTACTGTAATATCTTGCTGTCCCTAAACAGGCACCAAAAGGAGAAAACCATAGACTGTATATATTAAAGGACAGAGTCACGCCCATCTCCGCCGTTCTAACTAATGGGCCAAAAAATTTGCTCTACTGGAGCTATCCAAAATGGCCGCGAGTGGTCCCGCCCACAAGAAAATTGGGAAAAAACGTATCTGCGCATGCGTCAGCCGGCGCAGCTCCATTCATTTGAACGAGAGACTTCAAAAATTCACAGCGAGTAAACTAGAATGGACCAAAAAAATTCACCCCCCTCAGCATTGACACACATGTGGAACGGAGCTTTGGGCCAAGAGCCAACTTTTGGTCCATCCTGTAAAGACGTTTTTGAGAGGTCTGCCAATGCTATATGTTAGCATTGGCTAATTCTTCTTCTGGGTCCACCCCCATCGGCCCAGGGTGGTATTGCAAGCATGTCAGCGCACGTCATCTTGGCCACTTTTGAACTGGGACCCGTCCCCACTGGAGAAAACACATAACTGCAGTATTAAAATCACCCTACTGGCTTCCTGTGGAGTATAGAATTAAATTTTAAATCCTTTTAACATACAAAGACATAAACGGCTCCCTCCTACCTACAGTACCAACCAAACCAAAGCGAGCACTGCGCTCGGAAAACGCCAGACGTCTTGTGGATCCTAAAGTGTCAAGCTTTCATAAAGGTAGGATTGTCTGCTCAACGGTGCGCATGATGACAGGACATTAAAGTGGAAATAACTTCATATACTTTGTATTCCCATGCTTTGTAGACATACTGAATGTATTTAGCATTAGAGAAATACAAAGCTTTAAACATTTAGGTTGGTTAAATGTTTTTGTGAAGGTGGAGAGGCTGAAGGCTGAGCTAATGTATGAGCGGCGCACTGGGGAAGAGCAGCTGTCGCACTTTGAGGAGGAGAGGAGGGTGTGGCAGGAGGAAAAGGAGAAGGTACACACTCATGCTTCATGACCACTGTACTTTCTCTGTACTCTTACTTTTGGACACTAGACACTAGATTAGGCTTGGTTGTTCATGTTCAGTAACATATAATAGCAAATACTTTAAGCCTATTAGTAAGACACTGTCATTTATAAGGAAATTAAGATATGCACAACATACACCAGTGGCCTATGTATCTCTCACACTTAGTAGTGATAAGCTTGTTCGCAACCCTGGGATACGTCAACCTCAAAAAGACAATGACTATGACATACATATAAAGAAGAAATATTGTGCAATATATTTGGTTATTAAAAAATGTTCAATTCATGTTTTAGTATCGGAAATATTCTAAACAAATGTTTCACATTCTCTCTCTTACAAGTTTACAAAAGATGACATGCTTACTAAGATGAAGACTGCATGTTGTGGTCTGATTTATATTTATATTTTACTTTTAGACTCTTTCTGTTACGACGAACAACATGAATTATTTATGAAAAAAGGTATCCCAGCTTTAAGTCATGCATCCATCCATCCATTTTCTTCCCCTTAGTCCATTTATGGGTCAGGGGGTGACAGTCATAGCTGCAAACCACAAAGTTAAAAGTTAAAGTTAAAAGTTCTTTGAACCCTGAGGCCTGTGTATGTATTTTTATTTTATTAGTGCGCCCCTGGGTGCAGGAAGAAATTTGGACACAGCTCTATCAGCTAGCTAATCATGTAGCAGACATTCCTGCTTCCCAGTGTGTGTATGTGAAACGTGGTAGAGACAATGGCCCTCATGTATGAAACTTGCGTACAGCCAAATCCAGGTGTAAATGTGGCGTACGCAAAAAATGTACACTTTTCGACATGTATCAATCTGGACGTGAGCGTACCGTACGCACAGAATTTACACCAAGTCAGGAGGTGGTGTAAATGTGTACGCTCATTTCAACCTTCATTACAACACGCCAAAACACACATGAAATTCAAGATTCGGACAACAATAAACATATTCCCACTCTGGCAAGATTATAGGCACACAACTCTCACATTACAAATATGCAATTTTACAAAGTTATGTTAGGGCTGGTTTGTGTCATAACGTACAAGATGTCAAACTCTAAAGTCTCCCACAAATGTGTGGATTGTTATATACACCTACAATCAGTGCAACGGCATTCATGCGGGTCCAAGCAAAGACGCGCGCCACCGTGGAGGGTGTGCGGGTCTGACCAGAGGAAGATGGCTCTGGGACATGGCTCCCGGTACAAGTGTGCCAAATGATCCTGGCTCGGTTCTCCACAGCAGGCACAGGACACGGTGTCCCATTGGATGCACTGGTGGCGCAGCCCATGGATGAGAGACCATGGCCAGCACCCAAGCCCCGGCGATCCAAGATGGCGCCCTATTCAAATGAATGGTTGTGCTCAGTGGCGCTTTGTGACGGCATGGGGGCTGAAAGATTAGTGGAAGTCGCCTGGAACTCACAAAGATCTATGGGTTTAGTCTGGTTTAGTCTGCAGTACCGCGAGAATCCCCTGAGCACATGAGTTCTTCAGCTCCAAGCTAGTAATACCCTATCCAGTTATTATAATAGATCCATGCCAGCACTGCCTTCGGCCTGTACAGCTCAGACAGGCTCTCATTCAACCATTTTAAAATAATAATCACATATATAATGTGAGGATAATTTTATGGCAACGCGCATATGGGAACTGGCTCACGGGCAGTATAGTTAATTTATTGAAACTTTGACGTGAATAAATAAATAATAAATGAATTAATATTTATTATTTATTTATTTACGTCGAAATTTCAGGAGAGATGAGTGCTGCAGTGGGTCTAGACACTAGGGAAAAAAAGTGTATATATAATATAGCGTATATGTATATATTTTTTTAATGTGAATAAACTCAGAAGTGCGTGCTTTTTGAGTCTAAATACGGGGCGTGATCAGGCAGTTTCTGAATATTTATAGGCGTGACTTTCATAAATACGCTGGTTTTGAGCGTGGCATTTATTAAACAGCCGCAGGTGCATACGCTCGAATCTGTGCGGATCTCACACGTTCATAAATCCCACGTTGGATCTTGCACATCTGGAATCTACACTCATTTATGAAACTTGCGCAGAAAAGGGTGTACATTTTGGGTGTATATTCCAAATACGCAAGATCCAACAAATGGGATTTATGAACGTGTGAGATCCCCCCAGATCTGAGCGTAAGCACCTGTGGTTGTTGATGGAAACAAACGTATTTTTGAAAGTCACACCTAAAATATAAATATGCATCAACCGCCTGTTTAACGCCCTGGTTTTGCAACATAGCTGAATAGAAGACGGCCAGGAAGACTGTTCGGAAGCCTCAAAAGGCCTGTGGCATGACCTCCTGAAGAGTTGAGTTTGTTCATGTTTGTTTAAAAAGAAATATACGCTATATTCAGCTGCATTTCCATTGAACAAATTTTGATTAACTTTTTTGATACACATTTTTGATACATACATGGTCTGTTGTTTTTTTCTTTATGTCTACTTCCAAAATGCACTCTTTTGTTTATGAAATGTGCACTATAAAGTCCAAAGTGGATTTGGATCACCAGGTTCCTATGTCTCCTCCAGGTGATCCGGTACCAGAAGCAGCTGCAACAGAATTACATCCATATGTACAGACGCAACCGGGACCTGGAGCGTGTGATGCGAGAGCTGAGCTTGGAGCTGGACAACCGCGATATAGATGACTACGAGGTGCGGAGTGGCAGCAACGACATCCCCTATGAGGAGATCACTGCCACAGAGATCTGAAGCCACCCACGAACTGTTCAGACTTATGCAAACTGCACTATACCCCCACAACTGTCTACGTCACCACCAAACCAGCACAAAGACTTTTCCGCTTTCATTTCCACAACTACAGTCAAATCAGGGTAAATGTTCTCTGTCAAAGCAAAAAATCAAAGAGGATGACACAGGATTTGGAGCTGATTTTACCAAGGCACCAGCATGTATGTACTGACAGTAGCATCAGGACATCATCACAGCTTCTATAGTGAGATACTCGTACAATCACTTTTTAACATCGCTTAAAAAGACTTACAGTATATATATCCATGCAGCAAATATAGGCCATTGCTTTGCTGAAATGCTGAAATGCACACAAAATTACTTAATCAATGAACAGAAAAAATTGTGCAGATGTACTTGTGACGAGATGCATAATTTTCAAACTGCTTATAGACCCAGTATTGTCTTGGGTGGCCAGAAGCCCGGTCTCTGCTATAGAGCTCCCATCTGGCCCAAAGTGAAATACACAATGAGTGAAATCTATCTATAATATTATATAATAATATTCTGTATGGGCTGGAAGAACAATTGCAATCAAATTGAAAGTTAGATATTGGTGTCGCAAAAACTTGCAAACAAAAATACTAAATTCAATTTGATTGGAGGAAATACTTTGAATATATCGTGGGCTGTTTTACCGGTAAATTCTGATTTGCCAACAAAGCCAACAAAGACTTATTCCAAACACAGTAAAGAAAATAAATACGTTGAGAAATGGTATTTTTCATATTTTAAAGGGACACTCGTAAACTATTGCTTTAAGCAGCAATGACAACTGTCTGTTTTTTTTTGTGTGACAAGTGAGCTGTCAATCAAAGCCCAGACCCCCCTTCTTGTCCCTTAGTCCTCCAGGCAACGCCCTTTTTAGAGAAAATTTTCAAATCTTCATGTGGGCGGAGTAAGGCTGGGCACAGGTGTTTAGTCGCTCTTTAAGAACCATTCGTGAATGAGGCCCAATGTATGGATCAGTTACGAAGAGCACCTTTAAACTTCACTCAGTTACTACATTTATAAACATTTTGCATAGTCCAAATACGGGAACATCACTAGCATTGCAAAGTGATTATTCCCCCCTAACTTTGCGGGAATTTCAACAAATAATATTTTTGATAAAAATAATAAGTGAATATTAGCTTGAACTGAGCTCTATTTATCTTTAGCACATTGTGAGGGACTTAAAACAATATTTTCCAATAGAACAGGAAACTTGTTGTTTTAGCTAAAACGTGAAAATACAAGCCAGAAATAAGCGTATAACTTCTTGCTCAATTGGCAAATATAAACTTTTGTCTCTTTTTAACCGTAACATTTTTCCCCATAAAAAACAGACCTGGAGTTGTTTTTAGATCCATTAATAATATCAGGAACTTCTGTCTCAAACATGTTGCTACACTTCTTCTGTCTCAAAGCTACTGTGAAATTACATTCTTACCAATCACGAGTTGTGCTAGTGGCTGGTCCACAAAACGAAACTACACCTCTCTCTGGTAGTAGATAGGGACAACATATAATGCTTTGTATTTCTTCTTTAAAACAGCCAAAAAGTGCTCAATTCAATTAATTTCTAACTTATTGGATTTAAGAATCATTTTTTCCAGAATGTTTTTGCCATTCTTTGGAAAACATTTTGCTTATTTGAATGACTTCTTGTCAAGTGGCTCACAGCGCAATGATTCCTTTTTTGCCCCTCTCCTTCACCAACTTCTAAGCTGCTTCTATTTTTGTACATCACAACTCCAAATGTCACTGACACAATTCTGTGTAAACCATGGGCATGCTTTCTTCTTTAAAAAAAACTGGAACTCCCTCTCTCACTTTGAAGCGTTTCTCAGCCCCTTCCTCACACGTCCTCCTGTAATCGGCTCCTGCTCTCAAACAGCAGCAGGACACGGCATGTCTGCATGTCTTTGTGATGCACTGGGTGTGGGAAATGTAAGGCCAGAGGAAGAGTTTATTTTACTAAAAAGGCTCTTTATGGCGGTGATCAGTTTAATGTAAGAGAGGTTGTATATTTTTCTATTGCAGCTGCAGATAGTTTGTTGTAGTACTGGTATCTGTGTGGGTTTACTATAAAAAAAAAGACTATATATCCATCACATACATGAAACTGCTTGACTGAAGCGAGGTTCCAAATGAAGTTGTGCCTTCAAACCATATACATACATCACCTGTAACCACCAGGGTTAAAAAGCGTTAAATCACAGATTTGTAAGCTGAAAATGGTGAGTGTGAAACAAACGGTTACTGAACTAGGTGAGTTTACTTTTCAAGGTATATCAATGGGAGCTAGAGCGAGTTGGACCAAAACTTTGTCCATAAGGACTTTCCTAATAGTATTTATTGAGCAAGAGGTTAAGCATTGTCTATCTATATACAGTCTATGCTTCAGACCTGTTCTAATGTGCGGAGGAAAATATGGGGAGGATTTTGAGTACGTTGAAAAGGGGACGGTACTTCTGAGCGCTTTGTTGTTTGAAAGTAAGATACCTCAGCTTTAATATAAGACAAGCATTCTGTCTCATGCAAGACTAAGCATATTATCTCCTCAGACAGGCATAATATGATAGAACATTCTAAAATAATCCATATTGTTGGGTCATATTGTTTTTACACCAAGGCTGTCTGCGCCTATCTCCATGAGACACTAAACAAATGTATTTTCTCACACTTTACAGAGAGACTTTTTTAAGCCCCAAGCTTTCCAACAGCAGGAATCTTATTGTTTTGCATGAAGCAGAGAGGTGAAAGATCTCCTGCTGACCCTTGAGGAAAGTAAACAGATTGAGGATATTGAGTGGAACAGTTTTGATCGAGATAGTTTTAAAGGCAAGGTCTGAAGCATTAGGACTGACCGAGTGCTGACGTCGCTTAGTGTCAGCCTTAATGCAGAAGAGGCCGATTTGAACATAAGCTAGCTGGAGCATATTTTCATGCACGAGCATTTCTGACATGTTGCTCAGAATATTTGTAAGGTAAGCTGACCAAAGACAATATCATTATAAAATCCCCAGTATCATTCTGAGCTAGAGGAGTTTACTATTCAAAGTAAGTCAATAGAAGCCAGAGCAAGTTGGAGCAAAACTTCACAATGAGCACTTCCCTATAGGGCTTCATTAAGTTAGGGGGTTAGCATTTTCATCTGAATACTGTCTATGGTCTGAAGGCATATTGTTCATTTGATTTTGATAATCCGTTGATAATAAGAGCCTCCTTTGAAAACCAGCGCTTATTGGCCATCTTTCTCCTTTGTTGCGAATGTATATGTTTTTTTGGACTGAATACGCCAAAAAAATAATGATAACAAGAGAGTCTTTGTGATTCTATGTGAAGCCCGCTTTGTTTCGGCTGCTCAAGAAATAGCAGAAGTTTGATGGGAAATAAACCTTTGTGTTATAAGTTTGCGCCATAAATTAACTATATTGCATTCAAAAGAAGTTTACCTGGGACATATTACAGTGGGAATTTTCTGCAATAATAAATATGTGCGAACGAATAAATGCAAGATAAACATATATGGTTTAATGCCATTTTGTGGATTATTCCAAGCAAAACAATGGGCCTCATTTATAGTATTGACGTAGATTTTTTGTATTGATTTTTTTTTTATGCAAACAAAATAAAACAAATTCTTGTTTTTTAACTTTTAATTAATATCCTGTCAAATTTACTTTTTCTCGCTTTAGAACATTGTTCCCTCATCAGTCACAGACCTGGAATTGTTTTTAGATACACGCTAATATTAAGAACTTCTGACCCAAAGAGAACCCTGGCCCTTCTGTCTAAAAGCTCCTGCCTCAGTCCTATAATAGTTTGATGACATCACTCTCAGAGCAGTTTTCTGCCTTTAAATTAGTTTGGATACATTTCTCAGGTGAAATTACGTTCTTTACAATCACATGTTGTCAAGGGATAAAACAAGGATCCAAAAGTAAAAACAGAAACCAAGAACAAGATGGCAGAAAAAAACAATGTATATGTATATATATTCTACACCTCCCTCTGGCAGAGGGAGTTACTGATTTAAATGATTTTGACCCTTGATTTGTTTCACCATAGATTTTCTATAGAAGATAATATTTTACATTCTAAAATGTTAAATAGTATATTTGTTTGTTTTAATAGCCAAAAAAGTCCATATTATTTACTTTTTAACACGGAAAGTGTTGTATACATATTTTATAAATGAAGCCCAATGACATTTGTTTGTATTACTATTATTCTTTTACAATTTCAAGTTGCAATTTAAAATCATCCTGAAGGCAAAAACGGAGCTCTTTGCTTCTTCTAACCTCACTAGACTGTTACAGATGCACCAGTACATGTTTGAGTATTATTAATAATTCAACACTGTGCATCTGAAATGTGTAAATATGTAAAACTCTCTATAATATATCAGAGCTGACTGTATTTTATTTAGACAAGGAACTTCTATATTTCAAATGTAGCCACTGTGATGGACCAAAGGTTGTGTTGTCACCAGTCTGTGCATTTCTCATCTTCTCTTTCTCCTCTGTATATTTTTAAATGTCTAGAGTTCTTGTACAAACAGATTGTGTTTCTCATTAAAACTTGTCACAGCGGAAAAGACCTTGTGGGGTTTTTGTAAGCATTTTATTTCTTGCAAAGTTGCATTTGTTGGCATCAATTACTGCTAAATGTTTGTTGAATTGGCCTAGTCTAATATATTATCATTTTACATTTGTCCTTATTATAATAAGGACAAATAAAAATCAAGATATTTGTTTAGATATTAGATATAGAAGAAATAAAAATATGTTATCTTCCTTTTTTCCCGTTTTCCATTTTATTGTCATAGGTTGATATCCTATTACAATGTGAAAAGCGAATGGAGAGAGGTAAAGACCCATGCAGCCTGTCCCTGGGGCAGATGTCTCTCCTGTCCGCTCTGGTCCGGTCTATAATTCCCCATCCCCACCATGCTTTAATTAAGCCTCCAAAGTATGAACTGTCCCAACATCTCTGCCAGAATGAGCCTTTTGGAGTAATCCTATCTGCTATCAGTGCGGTGGTCAAACTGGCAGGACTGCAGCGGGTCAGATGCAAACGGCATGTTTGACATTGTGGGAGGGGATTAGGGTGAAAACGTGTGTGTTTGATCTGAAGGAGAGTTTATCGGCAGCACTGATACGATTGAAGCCGCGCGCGTAAACAGAGCATTCCACAAGCAGCAGTCACAGTGCGTCTTTCTTCATCTACAACCAGTGAGGTATTTGGTTTATTCCTTAATAAAAACATACATACCACATACTGTACACAATCATGATTTTAATTCAGAAAATAAACATATTTAAGCCAAAGTGAATTTATGACCATAAAATCTTTGCAGAAATATCTAAAAATATACATGTATCAGAATTTTAATTATAAGGAACAACATATTTGCTCATGTATTTCTCATATCACAGCAGTGGAGGTGTCTATTTCATGAACGAGTAGAATCTGTGTCATTGTTACTGCTGCTGCACATTCGTGCAGATACGTTTAAAAATGGCAAATAATATATGTCCAGTATTAACATGCTCTCTAATATGATTAAGACAACATCTGACATGTTGCTCAGAATATTTGTAAGGTAAGCTGACCAAAGACAATATCATTATAAAATCCCCAGTATCATTCTGAGCTAGAGGAGTTTACTATTCAAAGTAAGTCAATAGAAGCCAGAGCAAGTTGGAGCAAAACTTCACAATGAGCACTTCCCTATTGGGCTTCATTAAGTTAGGGGGTTAGCATTTTCATCTGAATACTGTCTATGGTCTGAAGGCATATTGTTCATTTGATTTTGATAATCCGACTATAAGAGCCTCCTTTGAAAACCAGCGCTCATTGGCCATCTTTCTCCTTTGTTGCGAATGTATATGTTTTTTATGAAAGACTTGGACTGAATACGCCAAAAAAATAATGATAACAAGAGATTCTTTGTGATTCTATGTGAAGCCCGCTTTGTTTCGGCTGCTCAAGAAATAGCAGAAGTTTGATGGGAAATAAACCTTTGTGTTATAAGTTTGCGCCATAAATTAACTATATTGCATTCAAAAGAAGTTTACCTGGGACATATTACAGTGGGAATTTTCAGCAATAATAAATATGTGCGAACGAATAAATGCAAGATAAACATATATGGTTTAATGCCATTTTGTGGATTATTCCAAGCAAAACAATGGGCCTCATTTATAGTATTGACGTAGATTTTTTGTATTGATTTTTTTTTTATGCAAACAAAATAAAACAAATTCTTGTTTTTTAACATTTAATTAATATCCTGTCAAATTTACTTTTTCTCGCTTTAGAACATTGTTCCCTCATCAGTCACAGACCTGGAATTGTTTTTAGATTTTGTGGGAGGGGATTAGGGTGAAAACGTGTGTGTTTGATCTGAAGGAGAGTTTATCGGCAGCACTGATACGATTGAAGCCGCGCGCGTAAACAGAGCATTCCACAAGCAGCAGTCACAGTGCGTCTTTCTTCATCTACAACCAGTGAGGTATTTGGTTTATTCCTTAATAAAAACATACATACCACATACTGTACACAATCATGATTTTAATTCAGAAAATAAACATATTTAAGCCAAAGTGAATTTATGACCATAAAATCTTTGCAGAAATATCTAAAAATATACATGTATCAGAATTTTAATTATAAGGAACAACATATTTGCTCATGTATATCTCATATCACAGCAGTGGAGGTGTCTATTTCATGAACGAGTAGAGTCTGTGTCATTGTTACTGCTGCTGCACATTCGTGCAGATACGTTTAAAAATGGCAAATAATATATGTCCAATATTAACATGCTCTCTAATATGATGAAGACAACATTTACCTTTGACAAGAATCTTTATGTTGGGACTAACCCAGCCTGGGTAAATCTGCTGTTATGCAACAGCTTTAACTTCGAATCACAAACCAGTAGTATAATAATGGACGTAGTCACGCCTATCTCCGCCGTTCTAACTATCCATCCATCCATCCATTTTCTTCCGCTTTATCCGTTGCCGGGTCGCGGGGGCAGCAGTCTAAGCAGAGACGCCCAGACTTCCCTATCCACACACACTTCCTCCAGCTCGTCCAGGGGGACCCCAAGGCGTTCCCAGGCCATCTGAGAGACATAGTCCCTCCAGCGTGTCCTAGGTCTTCCCCAGGGCCTCCTGCTGGTGGGACGTGCCCGGAACACCTCCCCTGGGAGGCGTCCAGAAGGCATCCGGAACAGATGCCCGAGTTACCTCAACTGGTTCCTCTCGACGTGGAGAAGCAGCGGCTCTACTCCGAGCTTCTCCCGTGTGACTGAGCTCCTCACCCTATCTCTAAGGGAGCGCCCAGCCACTCTGCGGAGGAAGCTCATTTTGACCGCTTGTATCCGCGATCTCGTTCTTTCGGTCATTACACAAAGCTCATGACCATAGGTGAGGGAGGGAACGAAGATTGACCGGTAAATTGAGAGCTTTGCCTTTCGGCTCAGCTCCCTCTTTACCACAACGGTCCGATACAGCGACCGCATCACTGCGGACGCTGCACCGATCCGCCTGTCAATTTCACGCTCCATTCTTCCCTCACTCGTGAACAAGACCCCGAGATACTTGAACTCCTCCACTTGAGGAAGGACCTCTCCACCCACCTGTAGAGGGCAAGGCACCTTTTTCCGGTCGAGCACCATGGCCTCAGATTTGGAGGTGCTGATTCTCATCCCAGCCGCTTCACACTCGGCTGCAAACCGCCCAAACCAGGACCTGCATGCTGCACCGGCGACAAAGGGCAGCCCTGGCGGAGGCCAACATGCACCGGGAACAGGTCTGACTTACTGCCGGCGATGCGAACACAGCTCTGGCTCTGGTCATACAGGGACCGGATGGCCCTCAGCAGAGGACCCCAAACCCCGTACTCCCGAAGAACCCCCCAAAGGACACCCCGGGGAACACGGTCGAACGCCTTCTCCAAATCCACAAAGCACATGTGGACTGGTTGGGCGAACTCCCATGAACCCTCGAGTATCCGATGGAGAGTGTAGAGCTGGTCCAGTGTTCCGCGACCGGGACGAAAACCACACTGTTCCGCCTGAATCCGAGATTCGACCATCGGCCGTAGCCTCCTCTCCAGTACCTTGGAGTAGACCTTACCGGGGAGGCTGAGGAGTGTGATCCCACGATAATTGGAACACACCCTCCGGTCCCCCTTCTTGTAGAGAGGCACACCACCCCGGTCTGCCACTCCATTGGCACCGCCCCCGATCGCCAGGCGATGTTGCAGAGACGTGTCAGCCAAGACAGTCCTACAACATCCAGAGACTTTAGATAATCAGGACGGATCTCATCCACACCCGGAGCCTTGCCACCATGGAGGCTGCTAACCACCTTGGTGACCTCAGCCAGGGAGATGGATGTATCCGCCCCAACATCCTCAGCCTCTGCCTCTGTAATGGTGGACGTGACAGGGGGATTGAGGAGAACAAAGTATTCCTTCCACCGCCCGACAATATTGGACCTTCCTGTAAAGACGTTTTCGAGAGCTCTGCCAAAGCTATATGCTAGCATTGGCTAATTCTTATTCCGGGTCCACCCCCAGCAGCCCGGGGTGGTATTGCAAGCATGTCAGCGCACATCATTTTGGCAACTTTTGAGCCGGGACCCGCCCCCACTGGTAGTTACACATTCATGTACAGTCAACTTTTAAAGGGAATAGTCAGTTATAGGTTCCCAATTGGATGCATTTAATTAAAATTCTTGATAGCCGACGTCCCCTCACCATTCGTCTATTTTAAACTATTCTGCTCCTGCAAATCTTGTTGGTGAAGCTTTTTCCAAGTGGACAACTGCTGTAAACATATTTATTTGTTTTCTTACAAAAAACAATAAGTACAAAATCTGTGCTTAAAATGTAATAGAATACTGCAAAAGCGTAAAAAGCAATATATAAAAGTCACATTCCTTTGTAACAGTGACCTCCACAGCAGCACCTCTGGGTGTCCTTCCTCAGTGGGCGGGGCTGCGCGGGCTCCTGGGAGTGCTAGGGCCCCGAGGCACCTTCACCACAAAGATCATAGGGTCTTTGGCCTTGTTGCTGAAGGATCTGCGGATGACGTCCACTGCGTGCTGGTGAGAGGCTCTGTGGAGGCACTCTCCATCCACCGACAGCAGCTCCAGGCCAGCCTGCAGGGACACACAGAGATTAATCAAACAAAAGCCATTTTTACACAGCGGATCTCCGTTTTTGGGCTCATGTTCAAATGCAGAGTTAACCTGTGTCAACAGCATGAACGCAAGGCATGTTTTTTATGGACGTGTTCAAAGGTGGTTAAGGAGGAGGCCCTGCAGTCAAAGCGCTATGTACAGGAACATAGGAAAATGTGTATTATAAATCACTGTCATAGGGATGTTTATTATCCTTTTAACTTGTTTTTCAATTTTCATTGTACGTTTTGAGTGTTGTGGTTTTATCTTTGCATTTCAATGTTTTAAGTTTTACTTGTTGCCACCTATTGTTCTTCCCCCCAAAGCCTGAGGACGCTGAACACGCCATGACACTCAGGACACCTGCGACCGGAGATGACAAGTCGGTATATGACCACGGTGAAGAGCGAAACTGGAGCATGTTTGTTTGGAACTCATGGGCCTTGGAGGAGGGACAATGAGGCTGCCAGTAGCACGGAGACTGTGTGTATGGTGGCATTGTTGCAAGGCAGCCCAAATCCATGCAAAAACTTTGGCTCCAGTTTCCCAGTTGTGCAGTTCTACATAATTTGAGCATACAGGGCAGCTAGCTTCCTAATTTTTAAGTGGTCATTTTGAAAAAACTAGAAAATTATTCCACATGAATTGGTTTCAACAATTCTAGAATTTTTAAATAAAAAAAAATAAATAAAAAATTGAAATAAACAAACCAAATCCTACCCTTCCCTCTGGTGAGAGCATTGGGAGCTACAGACAGAAAGCATTTTTACCCTTCACAATTGTTTTGCATATATTTTAATATTATTCTAATTCTAATTATTTGCATTCTAAAACATGAAATAAAAAAGTAAATGGTCTCATTAGCATGGTTCATTTCCAAAAATAATGTGTAATAAGTTGTTGTGGATTAATATTAAAATATATAATGTTCAATTATTATCCACTGAGGTGTTTATGCCTTTTTCCACCATCTGTTTACAGGGATCATTTAGCTCTGCACACTGGGCTTCATAAATCTGCTGTTATGGCGTCTCGTTGCAGAGGGCTGATTTATACCAGAGAGAATTGGGACCGCACCACTCCTTTATTTTATTCACTGCGAAGGCCGACACTGCGCACGTAAACTTTCCCCTTCAGCACAAGGTTGTTCCGCAGCCACAGCTCACGTGTTTGCCAGGAAGCAGTGGAGAGCTGGTAGCCCTAAAGAACTTGAGGTACTTCCTGCCCTGACAGAGGAGGATACACCTTCCCCACACGCGCAAACACACAAAGGGCCTTGTCCTCTGGATGCTTTCACTCACTCCTTTGTCTTATGTTGCCAGGAGGTTTTTTTTTGCTTTATATTGGCTTAGGACAGATGTTATCCGTTTACATCTAAGTAGACCTTTGCAGCTAGGAGCGAGAGAATTGTAGCTAAATCTTACAGCTTATAGTGGTAAGTTGTATTTTACTATATGATTAATATCAAGAGACATAATATGTGACACTTCAACATGGCTTTCATGTACCCAAGGTAGCAGAAATAATGCTAACTTAAAGGAGACACTAAGCATGAGTACACATAAAAACTACAGGTAAACATATATTTTTCTGTGCCAGTTTTCTATTTCTGTTGAATACCCCCCAGCCCTAATCCTGTGACATTTTAGATAAAGATACAGCATCTTGTGTTTATATTTCGGATCTACTAACTTGATTTAAAGGTCTGTCAGCCATAGAATGTTAACACTGCCTCTATAATCCAGTCCTTCAGTTCTATATAGGTGTTACTACTATGTGCAACGCTTTCATAATATCGAAATCAAGCTAAACTTGAGTGTAAGTAGACAGAGCTTGTTTTCTGTTTTGTTAAATGTCATGTCAAATGCTCTGGAAATGGCTGCAAGTCCTAAGGAGCTCTGAAACATTTGTTGTTTTGTGTTTTACAATTGTTGTTTTTCTTGCTTTTTTCTACTTGAGATGTTATTTGAGTACAGTGTTCATGGTTTTGCACTGGTCCAGACCGAAGCGGAGAGGATTCATGGTTCCGAAACAAGCGGATCGGCCGAAAATCTACTGGAGGAATGCTAACTTTTTGAAAGATGCTAATGAAGCATTCAGCATTTTACTTCGGACTAGAGCAGAGAAAATGGTCTGAACCAAGCAGCTAATCCATCTCTGCTGCTGTGACCTGTCCTGCTCCACCCAGCGGCTACTCGACCTCTGCTGCTGTGTCCTGTAGTGCTGTTGCATTTTATTATTACTATTGTTAGCTTGTTATAATAACTTTATTTGTTTTGTTTGTGTGGATGGATGTGTTTTTGCTGCTGCTGGACACCTGAATTTCTCCTACGGGCATCAATAAAGTCTGTCTAGTCTAAAGTGTAAAGTCTAAAGTCCTTTCACTTCAAGACAAATTGGGACCTGCATCTGCAGTGAGACGATAAAGCTTTATCTTATTCTCAACTGGGTGACCTGAATGAGTAAGTGAGCGATGCAGTGAAGAGGTTGAAAGAGGGTGAAGCGTCTGGTATGGATGGATGTGATGCTAAATATGTTAAGAGTGTGAGAGCTACAATACTCTACAACAAGAGTGTTGTATTGCACCTCTATATAACGGCAAGGGTGATAAGTTTGTTGAGTGTTATTGGAAAGATGTCAATCAATCAATCAATCCATCCTTTATTATCTCACAGATGGAGAAATTCAGTTCGATGAATAAACATCAAGGCCGGCTGCGGACAACATATCCGCGCTCCTTATGACAGTTATTCAACAGCAGAGAGCAAAACAAACATATATTTCAACAGACATTATTGGATGGAAACAGTACATGCGGGAAAGCATGCAGATCTTTTTAAAGGGACATATTGGATGAGGCGGGTCAGAGTGTGGTGGGGGAGGTGGAGGGGAAGACCACCGTAGACAGAAAGAGAGAGAGACAGACATGTAGGGGGAGGGGTGAGCCAAACAACTGGTATACTGATGAGTCTGTAAGTTATGAGAGAAGTCCATCTTCGGCCTTGAAGGCCGGCTGTGTGGTGGAATGTGGAGGACAAAGATAAGAGCAGGTGCCTATGGACGTGGGAGACAAAACAACACATATGCCGTGTGGAAATTTGTAAAGCACTTTAGCTGGTCAAATCAAAGTTGACCACGTCAGTGTGAGTGTTCGCCATGAGGCCCAAGTCCTTCAATCAATCCTTCTAAACGTTTATGTCCTTCCATAGACCTCAATCCCAGATCTTTAAGAGAATGTTCGATCTGTACCACAACCCTCTGTGTCCCAACAGCGCTCTCGACCACGACCCTGGTCCACTCACAGAAACTCTCCTTGTTTTCCGCGGAAAGCCGCTCGTAAATCTTCTGAGTGGACATTCCTCTGACGTTGCGGTAGATCAGGCCAACTCAAAATCCAATCAGGAGGAACCCTGCTTCCATGTATGGAAGGAGTTTGATTCTGCAAGTGTGCTATAGGTGATGAGCAGTGTGGATTTGCTGTGCAACTGCTGCGTGAAAAGAATATCCAAAGAGGTAAGAAAGTATTTCGGGGCATTTATGGATCTGGAGAAAGCAGACAATAAAGTTGACAGAGATTCAATGTTGCCAGTGATGTGTTTGTACGGTCTAGGTGGAAGGTTGTTGAAAGGAGGAAAATGTTTTTATAAAATGAGTCAAGCTGGTGTGAGAGTAGCTGTGAATGTGGGATGTGTGATGTCGCCTTGGCTGTTCAATAGGCACATGGATAGAGGTGTGAGAGAATTAATAAATGATAGGAGGGTCCGAGTTGGGAATGAGGGGAATGTAAGTTGTCATTTGAGTCTGTTACTACTTGCTGATGATGCGGCAATGGTGTTGACTAGTGGAAACTTTTAAGATGTTTGTGTGTGAGTTTGGTAGATTGTGTACAAGGAGGAAGTTGAATGTGAAAGTTGGGAAAAGTAAAATGATGAGGTGCGCAAAGAAACAGCATGCAAGTGGTGTGAATGTTTGCTTGAATGGGCAGAAGCTAGTGGATGTGTTTAAGTATTTGGGATCAAAAGTGAGTGCAGATGGAAGCTGTGTGAAAGAGGTTGTTGTACTGAAATCTATATTCCTGTTATAAAAAACAGTTCAGTCGGAAGGAGGATGCTGAGGCTAAATTGTGAGCACAAAAAACAGATCTACAGTAGAGTTTCGCTTTTCAGCCCGTGCCGGGCTCGGGCCTCATTTTGGCGCTCAGCTGTCGGGTTCGTGCCGGGCTCGGGCTTCTTTTTTTTAAATATATGTTTCTTTTTTATTATTATTATAATTATTTTTAAATGATTTGTATACGTAATGATATGCATATACATATCAGAATCAGAATCAGAATCATTTTTATTGCCACGTAAGTAACAGGAGGTCACAGACTAGGAAATTGCTTGGGCTCAGTGCAACAGTCAAAAAGAGATAATAAAAATAAGAATAAAAAACACTTCTAAAGAATAAATTTAAATTTAAAATGGAGTTACAGTTACTATTTACAATATACAAGTGCACATGGTGCACACAATGTAAGGTGACAGCAGTACAGTGAAGTAAAGTGACGTATGATGGGCAGTAAAGTGACTTTATAAAGGGCGGGGGGACATGTTAAGAAGTGTTCAAGAGTCCAACAGCAGAGGGGAAGAAACTGTTCTTGTGGCGGGAGGTTCTAGTCCTGATGGACCGCAGCCTCCTGCCTGAGGGGAGTGGTTGGAATAGTCCATGTGCAGGGTGAGAGGGGTCGGCTGTGATACGACCAGCCCGGCCTCGAGCTCGGGCAACGTACAGGTCCTGCAGCGATGGAAGGCTGCGGCCGATCACTTCCTCTGCAGAGCGCACAATGCGCTGTAGTCTCTGTTTGTCCCTGACTGTGGCTACAGCGAACCACACGGTGATGGAGGAGGTGAGGATGGACTCGATGATGGCCGTGTAGAACTGCACCAACATCTGTGCAGGCAGCTTGGCTTTCCTGAGCTGCCGCAGGAAGTACATCC